TGGGGGTTGGGCTGTGCAGAGGCTCCCAGACATCTGGCAAGTTTGGAATGAGAGCCGAGATCTGCAGCCCTTTCACTTTCAGGCTTGCGTCTGTGCTCATCACCTGGACTGGATTCAGGACACAAATTCTGTCCTTGGGGGGTTATAGCTGAACTGTCTCATTTTGCCTCTGAATCTGGGGGGATGGGGATGAGGGTGACCAAGGGACCAGGAAGGAGTGTGGCATTGTGAGCCGAGATGTCGTCAGCAACTCACTCCTTTCAGCGTCAGGCCAGGGCATTCTGTTATCTGGAGTATTGTGGGAGACAAGGCCTGTCCTTGGCTCCGATTATGGTAGCCACCTGCAGTCGTTGTTGGACCCAGACTGAGGAGGGGCAGGGCCAGTGCTCCTGGGGTGGTAGCCGCCTGGAATTTGGCCACAGAGCCTGGGAGAGCTGTAGGGCAGCCGCGCACCGTGCACATCCCAGACAGTAGAATCCCTGCCACCTCAAGCGCAGGGGGGTGTTGGAGGTGCTTTGGGGCCTCTGAGTTCCAGCCCTCTTTGCATACCAGCGTTGGCCCAGCCTACAGACAGGCCCACACCGCACAGGTGTTCACAGGAAGGAGGACTGCCTTGGTCTTTACTGCTGAGCATTCGGTGGCACCGGCCGTTAGTATGCTGAGCTGTGGAGCCATGTTTAGGCAGGCTGCTTCTTCACAAATGAGTTTGATCCGGGAGCCTTTCACAGGACTGAAAAACACTTGACTAACAGAATCTGGATCCAAGCAGTCTACATTTGATTAGCATTTTACTATTTTAGGTCCGTCCGGTAGCCTGGGTTTCTTAAAATCTGTGGTAGGGGTTTTCCCTTCCTTCTTGGAAGAAAAGGGATGTCATAGAGGGTTCCTTGCCTCTGGCTCCTCTTCACTCCCCAACCTTGGGTTTCAGGCAGCTGAACAAACATGCTTATTCGGTGACATTACCAGAAGCAGTTTGGTGACATGAAATGATTAAAAAGTTATCTGTGGTTTGTCGTGCATTTTGGGGGTGGAGCACATGTGTTGTCATTCTGTAACTTCAGTACTAATTTGCAGTTGATGGGCTTGGTCTCTGGGACCTACTGGAGCCAAGTGGAAGTGAAGTGCGTGTGATGCTTCGCACTTTGGGGTAGAGAAGTGGCTGGAATTCTCTGCTGTATTGTGGTACAGTGCTTGATCTGCCGTCCGCGGGAGTCCCAGTAGTGCCCAGGTTGGGTTACCAGGCTCTTTACCTCCCTATCCTAGCCTTTGGTATGTGACATTTCATTCATTTAACTGTTTTTTGAGCACCCATTGCATGAGAAGCACTCTGGGAGGCTCTGGAGAGACAAAGGTGAACAAAACAGAACCCTCTCTGGTGGCTCAGTGGGGTAAAGTGCAGCACTATGAAGCAGTGCACAGCCAGGGAGTGACCCACAGGGCCCAGCAGACCTCCCCTGTTTCCCCACTGCTCCCCTCAGCAGTGTATTTCAGTGGATCTGCCTATTCTGCTCCCCACTCTGTCTCTGGTGAATCCTCTCACCCCTTGCACCTCTCGCCTGTACCCCAGTTCTTGTGTGCATAAATAAATAAATCTTAAAAACACAAAGGTGAACAAAAGAGAGGTGCTGCTCCTGTGGAATAGCTGCCACCAGTGAGCAGGTAGATAGCTCACTGACCACATGTACAACATACGCCTCCTTTTGGACGGTTTTGCCCTGAAGTTTTTTCAACCCTGGCTTCCTCTTCATCATTTTCCCCATGGTGCCTTGCACAGAATAAGAGCTTAATAAATATTTACTTGGTGACATAGCGGCTGGTATAAACACATGTCAAGAAGGGATTTCATTCAGACATATTTGGGATCAAGCATGCACCAGGCAGGCAGGGGCATGGGAACTGTTTTGGATGCTGCATCCCTGGTCACTCAGCCCCCCGGCCTATGGCAGGATACCAGCCCGAGAGAAGGTGAGAATGACCCAGGCAGAAGGACGAAATCAGCCGAAGCCCAGAAGCATGGGGTGCACCGCGAACTCTCCAGTGCCACAGTAACGGTTACCTGAGGGGCTCTCACCCGCTAGAAGGCTCTTAGGCCCTAAGATGGGATGCTGGGGGGCCAACAGCGGGATTTTAAGAGTGCATTTCACCTCACTGGTTCTGGCTACTCTGCAGAGGCCAGGCTTAAGGTGAGAGTAGACTCAGAGACAGACGTTCTGGACCAGGCCAGTGGGTGAAGAACAGGTACCTCAGCTTATTGAGGGAGGATCTGCTTGACTCCCACTGGCATTGGGTTCTCAGGTGACTGCTTCAGAGCTTGGATTCACAATCCTCCCTCTCCCCCACATTGAGCGGCATGCCTCGTTGCAGTACAGAACTGCTCTTCCATCCCGTGGGACCCCTCCTAGCTCATGCCTGGCATCCTGCTGCACAGTCCTGTCCTTCACAGAGTTCACTAATCCCTGCAGCCACCTCTGCTAGCTGCAGGTCACCCAACGTAATTCCCAGCACCAGAAAGCTCTTCTTCTGCCATCCAAGATGTTCTGTTTCCCTTGTTAGTCCTTATTAGTCTGGCAGCTATATTTTCCAGCGTGCCTTTTTTATCCACCCTCCCATACTATTGAATCCTTATAGGGCCTCACCTCCTAGTCTCAACCATGGGACAGTGAGAGGAACGAGGCCGAGGGCCTGATCTCCTGGAATTGATATCTTAATCATGAAGACAAACTATAAAGCCAGGAGTGTGCAGTGTGTCAGGTGGCCATACTTGTGGAGAGAAGGCGAGCTTCTTCATGCCACAGAGAGACCAGCCCAGGGTTTCTTCATCAGTGTGTGTGTTCAACCAGGTCTGCGGGTAAAGCCCTGTCTCTCGGGCTGGATGCTCTCAGAGACAAGAGATGGAAATTGAGCTGACTAACTTAAGCAAAAATCATTTGTTGACCTCACTGAAAAGTCTGGGACTCAGGACCTCTAACATTCCCCCCAGGATTCAGCCTCCTCCAACCCCTCTGCCCCTGTTGGATGACGTCAGCCTAAGGTTGCTTAGGGAGATGTGCTGCTGGCAATCCCCGGGTTCTCCCTCAGCACAGAGCACCCATTCCCCATAGCACCGACAGAATCGCTAGACTCAGCGCACTCACTCTGCACTGGCCTGACCTTACTCACATGCCACCAGGTCCCCTAGGAATGGGGCAGGTAGCACTCTCCTCCCTGGGCCATCTGAACTAGGGGTGGTTCACTAAAATCACTGGGTTTCAGGAGATACTGTGCTTGCCAAAACCCCAGCTCCTTCCGCTGCACCCCAGTGTTTGCGGCTGGCCAGGAGTTGAATGGAGAAGTGAGCCTAGAGCCTACACTAACAGCCCAGGCCGAACTTGTGAGCTAAAATGCAGCATGTGATGTGGGTAAGTGACAGCTGTCCCCAGAGGCCCTGCTGCATTCCTTTGCTGTCACTGCTGCATTCCTTTGCTGTCACTGCCTACCTGACGTGGACAATTGTTCATCAGGTTTCTAGGCAGCAGCGTAGAAACCAGGGAGATGGCAGCTTAACTTTTGTGCAGCACCCCTCTCGCCCTTCTCCCTTGTGGCACTTTGGTCTCCTGCAGTCACTTACCCCAGTGTTAGCTGTGGGCTGTTGTGCAACATGAGGACTCACGGGGCCGTGAGGCTTCAGTAAGCAAGATCAAGAGTGGTCACCTTCATTTAGTCCTCTCCCTCTTGTCCCTTCCCTCTCTCAAACCTGTCTCCACCTCATCAGCTTCATCATGGACAGTTGCTGTGGCCTCCTAACTCCACATCACTTCCTGCTCCAGACCAGTCTTTCCTTAAACCTGAGCTGTCCCCTAACCTTTGTACACCTCCTCGGGTCCCTCACCTGGCCACTGTGCCTCTCTGGCTCCCTGTCAGGCTGTGCCTCCTGTGCTCTTCTTGAGATCTCCACGTAGCCGCCTCTTCCTGGAGGTGTTCTGACCAGACTGAGCCAACTCTTCACACACATGTACTCAAGACCCACATCCCCCTCCCTCAAAACAGTCCTGCTAGGGTAGAGCCGGTGGTGCAGGTTCCCAATTAACCTCAGCTAGCCACCCCTGCGGGCTGTGTGACAATAAAGCCAGGTAGCTGCTGGCCAGATTTCTGACTTGGCAAGCTTTGCATCAGTTCCCTGACCTCAGGGCCTTGATGGCTCCAGGGAGCTGGGAACACCTTACAGGGTTCACGCCCTGGGCCAGAGTCAGCCAGGCCTCCTCTCAGCAACCTGCTGTTCCAGCAGTGGGCCGTGACAACTGGTTGAGAAGCCTGGATTTGGTTGTGCAGGAAGGAGACGCATGGTCTCGTCTGAGAACTATAGGGACCATCGCACTGGTCCTGTCATGGAACAGAACACCTCAGAGGGTTTTTTTCTTCAACAGCAGCTGTGTGAAATGAACTCACAGACTTTTGGAACCTCCTTAAATTCTTTTTTTTTAAAGGTGCTCACAGATCTAGGTTGAATGTGGGCTAATTTGTCTGAGGTAAACACTCCAAAATGTATGACCTTGAGGGCAGAGGGTGCTCCCTGGCCCCAGCCAGTCTGTAAGTTTGAAAAATAAAGCCAAGAAAAATCTAATCAGTCTGTAACATTCGAAATACAGTTTACATGGAGACGCACATAAAGACCTGATCTCTCCAAGTTGGCTCCTGCAAGGCCATGGTGGGAGGCACCCTGCAGCTTAGAGCCCTCCCTGCCACTCACCCCCATGGGTGGTGCTGCCTGTTTGAATTGAGTATTGATGTATAACATGTGCACATGAAAGTGCTCAGATCCTAACCATTTAAGTATTGATTTTCCCAAACTGAACACCCACACACATCTATGCACAAATCGTGTTTCCCAGTCATGCTGTTTTCTTTGGAGTTACTGGTTTTATGTTTGAATTGTTTTTGGTTAACTTACTGCAAACGAATTAGCATTGTTTAGTGTCTGAATGTAGTGTTGGGGGGAAAAAAACCAATTTTTCTTTTTGCAGAAAAGCCTGCCATTGCTCCGCCTGTCTTTGTATTTCAGAAGGAGAAAGGACAAAAGGTAAGGGGCCAGCATGTTCTCTCTTCATGTGATGACCCAGACTTGTTTCTCCCAGAGGCCTCTTCTCCAGCTCACGTGGCTGAGGATGCTTCTGCCCTTTGAACTTAATACTGAGCTTGGAGGAAAGAAGTCTAATGGCTTTAGGTTCCCTCAGTGAGAGGTAAAACGGGTGTGAGTAGACCCTGCCGTAACAAACAGTGATAGAAAGCTCTTTCCAGTCCCTAATGGTTTGATTTAGAGATACCGACATACCTTGGGAAAACCAGCAAGAGACTAAAGAAAGAAGAAAGGTAGAAAGGGGTGGGAAAGAGGAAGGAGGAGAGGGGAAAGACGGTAGTGGTGAAGGGGAAAAGAGGGCCTTCCAAGTTCTTAGGGAAATTTCTTGACCCTAACCAACTGGCCATAAAAGCATTCAGAGTAAGCATTAGTTGGTTTGCATTACATATTTACCATGTCCATCTGTTAGGTTACTTCTGCCTCCTGAGTTTTGCATCTCAGATGTACCGTTGTTGGAAATACCTGTTTCCCAGAGACAGCAGCCTGTTAAAAGCCTGAGAGGTGCAGCAGTAGCTTTCTGATGAGATGGTGATGAGATGGTGTCACATGTATTCTTTATTTTACGTTCAGGTCACTGGCTTTCTATCCCTTCCTGACAAGTTGGTTTTGAAAGTTAGAGTTGTGTCCAAAAACCTTGATCTTTGTAGCAGTACCTTCCGGGTTTACACAGGGTTTCCTCTGCCCGAAGAATGGATGGTCACTCTCCACCCGCCCTGGGCAAGGGGTGACACCCAACACCTGTTGCAGCACTTCTGTTTGCCCACGTTGCTGTGCTGGATCAGGGTGGTCTGAAATCACATGCATCTCATAAACTCAGGGATCAAGATCCACAAAAAATTAGGAAAATCCTGTTTTTCTTCTAGGGTCACTGACTCCAAGGCTGGGGGCTCCTGGTGTGGGGACTTGGGACCTCTGGCAGCCCTGCTACAGTTCACAGACTCTGTTCTTTGGTCTAAGAAAAAAACAAACAACTTTGTGCCACCCAGCTTCCCTGAGTGATAATTGAAGTGCTGTGCAGGAAGGGGGTTTGTAGAGGGGACAGAGGAAGACTCAGTGGCCCGAAACCTCCACCCTCGTCCCCTATGTTACCTGGGGGCTTTTCTGCAGTCTGTTCTCACAGTCACTTCCCCATTGTGAATTCTTCTACCGGAGAAAGTCTCTGAAGGACACTTTTGTTTGGTTATTCAGGTACTGTCTTCACCCTAGATCAGTTCTCTGCCACCTCCTCCTCTCTGGACCCTGACCAGTGCACACAGCTCAACTATGTTTTTTATCAATGGTCCTCAGGAAGTTCAGTTGGGTGATGATGATGGTGACCTTGGGGATAGGCTGTTTGATTACTTTTAAGTGTGAAGGTTAATAACTTTTAGGTTTTCCATAAATTCAGGATTTTCTGGAATTTTGAATTTTATTTTGATCTCTTTTGAGCCACTATCAGTTCAAAATGGGTCGGTAAGCTGAGGCCTTTTGCCACCTCCTGTTTCATACCTGGTGTTATTGGCTCGCTCCCCCTTTCCCCCTTCCCTCTCTCTCTGTGTAATGGCAGGCTCAAGTAACTTGGACCAAGGCCAGCTGGCCTACTGAGTTCCTCGCTCTTCATAGGAAAAGCCCACTGGCCTCTGATTTTAATGAGTAGTAGGAATTAATTCTTTAGACCTGAAGACTTCAAGGTAGCAAGTAATTTGAAACACTGTAATGTATATTTGTTTGCTTGAAGTTTTCAAATGCTCTTAAAATTCCTGTGTCAGTACAGATTTCATGAGTGTGGTGGTTCAGTTACTTTATAATTGAAGGCTGACTTATCTATATTATCTCCAGAAGGTCAGTGAAATTCTATAAACAGAAGAGTGTTCAACCAGAACAGTAACCAGCAAGACTCTGATTGTCACCTTAAAAATGTGCAGCATAGTTTTTATCAAAATAGTGACTCAGAGCCAATTCTAAAAGGTCTCCTAAAAATAGCATCTTCAAAAAAAAAAAATAGCATCTTCAAAGATCTGTTCTCCCAGTCCATCATGTGGTCACTAAAAGGGCGCGGGAAAACACTGTGTATTTAGTGGCAAAGGCCAGAAGGACCTATGTCTACTAGGCTACTTCCTGAGCTGACTGGTGTAGAGTGGCCAGACCGACACGAATCTTCCTTTCTCGCTCTGTTGCTTTTGACAGCCCACTATGGTGGGACGTAAATAGTGACTCAGAAAGTTTGTTTCCCCTGGCTTCCCATTTCAAGGGAAATGAGAAGATGGATTTGCAAGAAACAGCCACAAAAATGTTAATTTGAGACCCTTCTGTTTCACTTCGCTCCATCTCTCACTACAGAAGCAAAGTTGGAAAAGGGAGGTTAGGGGTTCAGACTGCTGTTGTTTTTTCAAGGTGAGCTCCTTCCCCCCTTTTCTTTTCAAATTTTCCCAGTCCTCAAAAAAGCCTGGCTTCACTGGTAACATTTTCGTCATCAGTGCACACCTCACAGTTGTGCACACCTCACAGTCCTCCCCTAAAATACTTCCTCTGCCAACTCTTAGGAATGCAGCGTTCTGTGCCTCAAGCCTGGTCCCGTAGTCACACCTAAGAAAATGATCGCCATTCATAAATACCCTCCAGCGTTTATTAGTACATATTTCATATTTAAGTTGTCCTGATTGTCACCAAGTGTCCCTTGCAGCTTTTTTTTTTTTTTATAGCTACTTCTTGATCTTCAAAGGTCAGGAAAGGTCCCATTTGTTGACCCTTAAGTTTAGCTTCGCTGTTAATGCTCTCTCTAAGGCATCCACTAGGCCTCACTACTATTACCATGATTAAGATTTTTTTAAATTGGAAATTAAAAAGAAAAAGAATTAGTTGCCTGCACAGGAGTTTTTTGCACCTGTTTGGTGATGGAGACATGTAACCTCTTCCATGGGGCTCATTATTGGCCCATATTGCGTTCACATAACCACAAATTGATCAGTGACCTGTCGAGTGCATCACTTGCTTAGCCTGCTAGCGTGGCCATGGGACAAGTTGTTTGAATCCTTCTATTGTTAAACAAAGTGGTGGACTGTTTGAGCTCCACAGTTAACACTCAAAATCTAAACTCAGCCAGCCTGACAGCACAGGACTTGTTTACTTCTTTCTCTCACTCCGCACTTCCGAAAGAGGGTGCTCTTTATGAACTACTTGCCTTCCTATGGTTTTGTGTTTTCCCCACGAGAATGAAACCTTTTTGTCTTAACAGTCTTGAATGGAGACAGACAGGTTTTTTGTTTTTGTTTTTGTTTTTGTTTTCATTTTAATACAAAGAGAATTTGAATATCGGTCAGTAGTTTCATTGTTTATGGTGACTAAATGTTTCTCTCAGTTGCTTTATCTTCCAAATATTTGTTAACCTGAATGGAAAGGCGGTGAGGTTGCACTGGCAAGGTGCCACCTTTTGGGTAAAAAGTGGAGGCAGTTACCAAAATGCTGTTGAGCACAATGTCCAGTGTCACTCAAACACTGTCAGTGCATGTTTTACTCATTTTGACATTTACTGTTGGTGTAAGAAGTGTATCCTGTGTGTGTGGATTTGATTTTTCTTTTTTATCAGCCACATATTTTATGATGATGTTAAAGCCTGCCAAAATTTTGAGGTCTGATAGAAAACTAGAGACTCTTACCTCTAGAGCTTACTTTTAGAGCATACTTTTTTTTTGTTCAGTAGAAACACTGGGACCCAAGTAGAAAATGCTGGAATGACATTTATGTTTCTATTTGATCCTCAATTTAGACTTCTTTTTGGTTCTCATGCCATGAATGTATTTGAATATGTTCCAAAAGGAGGAATTTTTTTTAAAAAAAAAAAACTTCTAATTGGAGACAGGCAGTTTCCCACAGAGCTCTGGGTTTAATCTTTTCTCTGAGGTGTTAAATCTCTAGCCATAAAGTAGCAGCAGACTAGTGTGTAGACAGGGTGACAAGCAGTTTGGAAGACAAACTATTGTCAGTGGATCTGCCCTGGATGGTGTCGATTTGGGTGACTTTTTAAATGTATGGATGAGTGAAAGTTGAATTGTTTTTGCATTCTAAAAAAGAGCTAGATGTTCTCTTATAAATCCTCTTTATGTAGTTCCTCTCATCTGAGGATTCTTAAGTCAAAGGGTAGTAGTCCCCGAGCCCAGTCTAAAGAGGTCTCAACCACTTCACACTCCACAGTCGCAGGCCCATCTTCAGGGAGACAACGTAGTCTGACAGTCTCCTCAGTCACAGGATGTGAGAAAGCTGTCTTCTTGGACAGTGCCAAATGGGAGGTTTGGGGACAAGAGCTCATCTGTTCCAGAACCCCAGCTTCACAGCCCATTTCTGAAGAAGACTCATGGCTGCAGAGCTCTCAGCCCATGATAGCCCATCCAGAATCCCCAAGAACACCTCAGAGGATACCAGGGCTGTTGCACTTGTGGGAGGAAGATGTCCAGAACTGGCTCTCCTAGCCTGGCTAGTTTCCAAATCAGCCCTGCCCAAGGTGATTGGGGTGAGCCTGGGAGGATTCTAGGCCTGGGATCACAGGTCTCCCACCAGCATGTCTGCTAATACAAAGCCTGTTTGGTCACCCCATCCCTGCACTCACTGAAACAAGAATACGTTTTTTTTATCTCAGGTTTAAGCAGAACAAATTGAAAGGTGCTGGAAGAACCATATGGAAATGTAAAAGCCTTTGACCCTGGATGCCCATTTTATGGATGTATTGTATTCCAGGCTCTCCCCATCCTTCCTGACAGACAGAAAGGTGCTGCTGCCCTGCCCCACCTCAGTATTTCCAAGGAGATATGTCATTAATCCTTGGGATAACAGAACACTGATTATATCCATGTCCCCCTCTGATCGAGGTCAGCCCCCATTTCGGCCACCAGGAGTGTGTTTTTGTTCATTCTTGGCTGGTAAGAAGCTTCATGCTGCATGCGGGTCTGGACTTCTGAAGACGACAAAACCTCTTACAGAGTTGGACAGCAGCAAGTCCGCCCTACATTGCCAGTCTGGAGGGCCAGTTTAGTCGATAACCTCACTCCTCCCTGCCCCATGTTGCAACCTTACTCACATTGAAGAAAATTTGTCTTTTTTGCTCCCAGTCCTCTGCAGAGCAAAAAGACTTGTCTTCAGGAGAGGAGCCTCTGGGGGAGGCCGAGGCCCCCCGCCATGGCACGGGTCCCCCCGAGTCAGCTGGTGAGCATGCCCTAGAGCCTCCTGCCCCTGCTAGTGCTTCAGCCAGCACTTCTTCGCTTCCCGCTCCTGAAGCCCAGCTTCCTCCTTTTCCTCGAGAACTGGCAGGGGTAAGTCCACCTCCGCTGGCATTCCACCCCCAGGGTCCCAGTCCAGACCTGACCCCTTTCTGGTGGGGTCCTCAGATCCATTCCTAGATCCCAAGAGATTGGTAAGAACTGAAAAAGGCTATAAGGATCTCTCCAGCTCCCTTTAATTCGTGCTGCCAAAAAGCCAGGAAAGATGAAGCCCCCTTTCACACTGAGACTTTTCCTGCTGGGGGATCCAGACTCAGCAAGAAGTGCATCCTGTTTCCTGGAAAGGACGTGAGAGGCGGAGAGGAACTAAGTAGTAGAGTAGACGCTTCCCAGTCAGATTTGACCCTTCTCTCCTTCCTTACGTTTTTCTTCTCCTTTCCCTGAATGTGGGTGTTTGAGTTCATTGTCTTAGAAATGCCAGAAGCTCCAGCTTCCTTGATACAGAGGAGAAGGTATCTAAGGCAGATTGCTTTGCAAGACCTGTTGTGTTTGGACTGTGGTTAGGCTGTGAACTGCTTGTCTTCAATCAAAGCAGGAAGAAGAAAAGACTTCCTTTGAATCCAGAGGGAACCCCTTGAGCTCTTTATCTTTGTGTTCAGAAGGCTTTTGAAGATTATAGGTGGAGAAGATTGTGAACTCTCGAGAACAAGAAGTATCTGAGGTTTTTGGAGTTTGATAAATTGGGAAAGGTAAACATCATCCTCTGTTCAGGATTGAAAACTCCGTCCTCTAGAGACCTAAGACAGACACCCCATTTATGTAAGGGGAAAAAGACTCTTAACAAGTCAACAAAGGCCCCTACCCTGCCCCCACTGAGCACAAGTCAGCTTTCTGGGATGTCAAAATCCCAGACCATTGGTGAGTCCTTTTGTCACATCGTCAGTCCCTGTGTTTTCTATGGAAAACCAGTCATTGTCATCAAAGCCTAGGACACCCAGTAAGAAGTGATGTTCAACTGAGGGAGGTTGGAGGCACATTTTCTTATTTTGAAGCAATGTGTGATGGAGTAAGAATAGGCTTTCCCTTGTACCAGCATCTATGGGAGTTAAAATGGGCTTGGGGCAATGAAACGTACTCAGACCCATGAAAAATTCTAGCCAGGAGGCTTTTGCACCAGAATGTTCTATGGGACAGTTCTCACATAAAGAGCACACGACGGGGGAGGGCAAGGATTAAAAGAAGTCACCACCCTTTTTAAAAATTTGGCAAGGCAACTCCTGGAAATTTTTTTTCTTCTTCAATATTAAGTGTTTCCATGCCTTCAACCTTCACAGGCGCAGGACAGCTTTCTCTTGGGGTCTGCTTTGAGTCCCTGCAGACAGATCCTCATGTGCCCCTGCTGAGGACCTCTGCTGCTGCCTGGTTTGAAAGCTCAGTTTCCTTAGACATCTCCAGTCAAGAGGTTGAAAATGAGCTTCAGATGAAGAGTAAGGGGAAATCACAGCTTGTGTGATGGCAGCCGCTTTTCCTCTCCTGTCCCTCTTAATGCCCTTTTGATGAGCCCACTTAACCCCCACCCCGCAAGGAGCCTGAGTAGGAAATGCTCTGGAGATCCCTCACCTTCCTTCTGTGGCCAGGCCAAGTGTTTCTGAAGCCTAGTCAGTGGAACTCAGCTTCTCAGTTCTTGTGGACTTTGGGTCAGAGACTGTAATCCAGAGAGTTCAAGCATTCCCCAAACTGGCAAATAAAAGGTCAAATGTTATGACTCGTTGAGTGTCCATGGGAGAGAGCCAGGACTGTGGAGCAGTTTATGAATGTACCAGCATGGTGGCGAAAACCACAAACTCATGTGATGCACATGTGTTGTTTTGTTTTAGCATCCATAACTGGAAACCTCAGTCATCAGAAGTCCCAGCTAACCCCTCACATTTGGTGAGAGCTCTGAGCCTACCAGGGGTCACTCCCATGGGCTCCCAGCAGAGAAAACTGACTGGTTGCTAGTGGCTTCCGCTGATAGGCTTTCTCTACTGATTGGGAATGTTCTAGGCAAAGTGTAGTTTCTTCTAGGTTAGCTAGTGCATAAATCCAGACCCATGGAACCTGACTCCCCCTAATCCCCTTGACCTTTCAGGCTGAGGCTTTTCTCTGGTTAACCTGACCAGTGGCTTTTGCACTAGAACAAATTTGGATCTTGATCTGTAGCACGCTGAATTCAGGAAACTGCCCTCAAGTTATCCAGTAGGTCTCATCCATCATGTTTAGTCTGTTCTTTATTCCATGATCCCTTGGGGGAGAACATAAGGCTGCAAGTTCTTTATGATAAATAGCAGCTCATTGAATTGTTGCTTAGAAAGGGCCCTTATCATCTTTCAGTCTCATCAGAACGCTGGCCATTGAAGGCGCAGTACCAGGAAAAGCTATATATATCAGACTCCCTGGCTCTCAGAAGACAGTTTGAAGAAGACCAAACCACATTCAGATTAAGTTCTCTGGTCTGGAGATAGAAGTCAGCTTTAGCTCTTTGAGCCTGGCTGAAGTAAACTGGACAGAAGTTCCAAGCCAAGGTGCTGCTGAACCTAAAATATCTTTTATTAGACCCACCAGGAAGCTTAGGAAGATTCTGGAATGCGCCCACTGGCTGGACTGACTCCTATATGGAGTTTGACACCGCCCACCCACCCAAAGATTCAGATCTTCAATGGCCAGCTCTATTTGTTCAGCACCTATCTTTATGGTAAGAACTGAGCTTACTGCCTCAGTCACAGATACAGTATTCACTTGTCCCTATGGAAACAAGGATGCTCCAACGGGCCCCTGTAAATGATTGCTAATCCCTGCGGCCACGTCCTACAGGTTTTCTAACTGGTCAATTCAGAATAGTGTCATTGAGGCCCAAGCAACCAGATGGTCTCTGGTGTATCTGGAAGGAAATTAGTTGACATGGTCTTGCTTTCTGATCTTTTCAGGAGGTCAGTGCTGTTCGTTCCTGCTTACTGCCCGTGTGTCTGCCTGTATCTGTCTCTGTGCCAGCTTCTAAGACCACCGTTTGCTCCTTGAGCCCAGTCCAGACAGCTTCATAAGAGATATGTTTTTTTTGCAGGAGTGGGGGAGACCTTTAATAAATTTAAGTCATAATTTCCACCTTTTTACTCATTATACAAAAAAGCAGAACTCTTCACACGTACAGTGCTATCTCAGGTTAGATGTTTTAGTACTTTGTACTTGGTGGACAGGCACATACCTCACAGAATGAATGCTTTCCCCGCCTCCACCCCCACCCACAGGGTTCCAGTGACTTTTGAGCACTTGCTGCCCCTCACGCAGTTTTTAGGAATGAGGGTGCTTCCTGCAACACGTGCTGAACAGCTCCTTGGATTTCTCCTGTAGCTCATGCTTACCACAGTGCAGCCAGCCATCACCAGAAAGGACTTCATCTTTTATGAACCTGCTTTATTCACTCTGTCCTAACACAAGAGAAGTAAATTGAAGGGTGATCTTTTGATCTTTTTTTGCATCTCTTGCTGTATACATCTCTTGTTTTTAGCTAGGGTGCCTGAATGTGCTGAGCTCAGTGTTCCCCAGGTGTTTTCCTAAAGCTCTGACCCTTACAGAGGTGGATTCAAGTGTGTAAAGAGATTGAGGTAGAGGAGGAAATGGGGTCTCCACACCCCTGCTTTTGTTCTCAGCCCTTCCCTGGTAGTGTGCATCCTGGAAATCTGCTCTCAGCATCCTCCTTGCCCACCCCCAAACTGCAGACTTCTGAGGCTGAGGAATGGGAGCTTCAGGGACTGATTTCAAAAGTGTCTCGGGCACTGTTCTCAGCTGACCTCTGAGTACCCGTCCCATGACTGGGAGAGAGGCTGCTTTGACATGACAGATCTGAACCACCAGGCTGCTGTGTCTGAGGAAAGTGTCTGTGGAGCTGGAGTTGGTCTTGTGTGGCCAGGGGAAACTCGGAAGGGAGCAGCTACATCCCAGACTTTTTCCTGGCTTGGGGGAAGATGACATGAAGCAGCAAACAGCAGACTCAACCTGAGTTTGACCCTCTACCCTTCAACCCCAAGCAGGGTCCAGGGAATGTGGTTAAGGGCTTCTAGAAGAGTCAGCATGTCCGAAGTCAAGCAGAAATGACTTTGCCATGCATTCTGTTTTGTGCTTCCTTGCATTAGTTTCTGTAGAGAAGAATTGCTGGCAACCGTTTCCTGAACTGGGTGTTTTAAACCCCACAAGAGGTTCCAGCAGTTTCTAAGGTTCTCCAGTAAGGGAATCTCTGTGTGGTTCTTCCTGGGTTTGATCTTCCTGCCTTTCCAGGCCGCACGTGCCTGTGGGGTGTTTCTGAGAAGAGACTCTTGGCACAGATTTGAGGGTTTTCTGGGTCAGAGATCTACAGTGTCTGAATTTTATCTGATCAGGTGCCTGTTCTTCTCTGGGTCCCAGGGGAAGTGGCAGGGGATTTCATCATGCAGTAAGCAGTATCCTACATGTCTAGTTGGGTGATAGGCCGTGATCAGAACAATGAGGTTGGACCTCGTTGGAGTGGAAGACAGACAAAAACCGCCTTTAATCATTTTTTAGCTAATCCATAAGTCAGGCCAGAAATAGGAGGAAGGGCGAGAGGGTAGAGATAGCAAGTGATCAAGGGTTCACCTGGGGGTCACAGGGAGGCCATACTAACTGGGCCTGGGGGTAGAGTGTCCAGGCCATGGGGCTATCATATGTAGGAGAATACTAAGGCAGGAACAGCAATTGACATGCTCTAAAAACAGCAAGGCCATGGTATGCTGACAGGGAAAAAGGGGGCCTCTTGCAGCGGGGTGCCACTGAGCTGAGCAGGAGCCACAGAGGCCTCAGCTCCTGGTCTAGCTACTTCTGGGGAGAGGCTGATTCCCACCAAATTCTTAAGGATTCCCAGAAGTCTGAGAAATGTGGGTGGTATTGGTAGTGAGGTGAGAAAGTTGGGTGTCATGAAAAGAGCCCCACAATACACAAACAACGACCGATAGACCTAATGGGAGAAATAAACAAGTCAGTCACCATGTTGCAGGCCTTGTGTAATCAGAGCATCTAAACAGAACACTGAGACTTGAGCCGCACTAAAACTACACTGACCTAACACGTCTACAGAACACTCCCAACCAGGAGCACAGACACACAGAACATTCTCCATGATAGACCTTTTGCTCAGCCACAAAGACTCAGTACAATTTAGCGGGCTTGAAATCATACAGGCTGGCCACAGTGAAGTGAAATTAGAAAACAAACAGCAGGAGGAACCCTAGAAAGTTGACTTCGTGGATATTAACCTGGACAACCCTCAGCCAGAGGGCGGTGCAAGGTGGACGCTGAGACAGGTCATGGAGGAGGCCTCTCTGCAGCAGCCCTGAAACAGTAGGAAGTCGGGGCGTGCTGCTAGCAAGGGCCAGTGCCATGGCTCCATCCTGACAGGGCACATGCCTGACTGCTTCTCCGTAGCCCTCAGAATCCTTTCACTGAACAGTTGCCCAGCAAACCCCTCCCATGTCCCTTTCTGGAACTTAGAGGTTCATGGGGGGCCTTAACACCAGAAAATTGGAATAAGGGCCACTGACAAAAATTCAGGGACATTGAAGTCATGGGGCAAGGGGCTTGTTTTAGAAAATGGGCGTATGAGCATGCAGGAGCAGAGTCTGCTAGGCCACAGAGGTCCCAAGAGACCTTTAGGAGGTGGCAGATCCCATAGGACCTGGGAAGTGTGGGCTTGGGAATAGCCAAAATGTTTATTGAATGAGAAGAAATATCTAGAGTCCTAAGATACTACTTGGGGTGGGGCAAGGAGTAGGCAGTGAGGTGGTAGGAAGGAAGAATATGTGAGGAGGTGCCAGCCTGGGCTAGGGCCTGCTTTCAGGGGCCAGCAGGGCCAGGGGATCATGAGTGGCCAAGACGGAGGGCTTATAGTGGCCACTCATTCCGATGTCAGGGGTTTTCAGATGGAAACAGGAGGACTTGGGTGTCCTGTGAGTGGGAATTCTCGTTCCATGTTGGTGGGGGTGGACATCACCCCTGGAAGATTTAGGATATTGGTGGTTATGTCTTGGCCCCTTGATGCATATTCCCCCACCCCCACCCCCCGGGCAGAATTCTCAGAGTTGCCAGGGCTGGTGGTTTGCTCCCTTCTGCGCTGGCAGTGACTGGTCGGTGGTCAAGGGCAGCGGCTGGCCTGGGATGTGATAACCAGGCTTAGACCCCTCCTGGAGACTTGTTTTCGCAGCAGCCACCAGTTGCCTGTATGTTGCTTGCCTTTGCAGCTATGAAGGTAGACGTGCCTGGAGCCTCCCCAGTGTTACCCCCCAGGAGGGGCCTGGTGCCAAGACTCCAGCCTGCTGACTTGCTGATGCCGTGGCACTGCAGCACTGCACGCTCAACTAAGCTAGAGTCGCATCGCTGCAGGAGTTCATCTCCGCGGCACCCCATCCCCAAGTCTGGGCTCTTCATCCCTCCACAGGTTCACCCCTAGTCCCTCATTCCTGTCTCTAGGCTATCCCTGCACCCCAAACTCCTCTGATTGCTGAAGCCCTGCCCCGCTGCCCACGGCCCCGTCCCCCCAGGGTAAGGCAGCTGTGGAAGTGAGTGTGCAGACTTGGTCTGTCCAGGTGTGAGCCATGACCTGCCACTGGCTCACAGCTCCCATAGGGGAGGCATCAGCACCTTCATTTTCCAGGTGAAATCATTCACCCCAGGCTTCACACTTGAAAAGTGACAGGGATTTTATTTCCCTCGTGGGCACAGTGGTCTGTTCACATTTGCCCCGGGACTGACAACCCCGCAGTGTTACGGGACTGTATTTCTACATAGTGAGAGTTGTCTCCTTTGAGCTGCCCGAGCACGCAGATGCACGTGTGATGAGAGTGGTACCTCTCCCTTTATAGACTTGATCCCCTAGACCCACTTCGAGTGAACCCTTGGGACACCGGCTTGGAGCAGGAAGCCCACGCTTGCTTTCTGACTCAAACCGGAGGCATCAGTTCATGTGGGGAAGGGCAGAGGCCAGGCTGGAAACTTTTTCTAATCATAATAAATGAGCTGTGTGCTTCAAGCACAGCTCCTGCCCTCTCTGGGCCCTCACTGTCTTTTTGGATGAGGGTCCATAGGCGCTGCCCAGCAGCCTGTTGTTGTGATCAAAAGGGTTTAACTTGTGAAAGGTTGTGAGAGCTGAGATGAATGTGGTCTGGCCCTTTGTGGAAAAGCACACCGCACCAGCCCCCACACCCCGAGGTTCTCTCCTGGCTCCCATAATCTGGTTACTGCAGTTGGCAGAGCACTTTCACGTGCACCATCTCATTTAATCCCTCACAGCTTGTTGAGGCAGGTGGTCCTCATCTGGATAGAGCTGAGCTCTGCGGCGCTTCCCTGAAACTAAGAAAATCAGCCCTCCTCGCTCTTGAATGAGTGCCCAAGAGTGAGGTGCAGCCCTCAGGGTTTGCTTTTGGTTGCTTAGTGCTGATGAGTTACAAGTTCAGGAGAAGGGCATACAGGAGGATTATGTATTGTCCTGGGTTGGGACCCATGAAGAAGTTGAAGGTTTCTTAATAGCTGGTTGTTCACATTCTAAACCTAAAGGTTGTTCAGAGGGAACTTCTTCAGCCACCTTCATGTTCAGTGACTTCTATAGTCTCCTGACTTTCTGGTGTTTGATGGTTGTTTTGAGTGTTTTGCAGCTGATTTTGGTCTGAGGCATTAAAACTCTCAATTGCTATGGAAATAAGAGCCCACCTTGAAGCAGAGTCCTCACCGTGGAATACACCAGGACAGGGAGTGGAGTCCAGGCTGATTTGGTGCTATGCAACCATTTTAAACAGAGGGGTCACTTTTCAACTCTTGGCAAAATGAATTTTGGCCAGATAAAATTTCACTGTGCTTGAGTCGGGGGTTAGAAGACCAGTACAATATAAGCTGTAGAGGAAAGAACCTGATCCTTGTGCTATAGATGAGTTCTCAGCCGCTAAGAGGATTCCTTGGCATGGGTCTTTAGGTAGGAAGCTTGTCAGTTACTTTGTGAGCTTTAGGCTGAAAGCCTACCTGTGAGCCGGCTGGCTGTGCTTAGGCAGTGAGCTTAGTCCTGCACCCAGACCATTCATTGTAGAGCTCCTCAACTCATCCTTTCACTGTGGGGCCTCGTCAGCATGACCTTCTGTAACCACTCTGATGGGTGCTTTTGTTTCAGAGATCAGCAGGAAGCTCCAGCCCTGAAGGTGGAGAAGGTGAGGAAATTTCTAAAGCGTTTCACCATCTTTGCCATGTAAAAAATGAAAGCAGACTGATTTTTTCCTCCTTCTCATTTCTAGATTCTGACCGAGAAGATGGAAATTACTGCCCTCCTGTCAAGCGAGAAAGAACGTCCTCTTTAACCCAATTCCCACCTTCACAGTCAGGTAAAAGAATTTCGCTGAACTGTAGAAACATTCTTGTCTATCCACCCATGTTGCTCTTGCCATATCTCCCACCCTGCTCTTGTATTTTCTGCCCATATCTGAGTAAAATCAATTTGAGACTCAGTCTCCCTCAGGAATGAGGCTAGAGCTTGCCTGAGGTGAGGCACCAGGAGTCTACATCAGGAATCAGTGGCGCTTACAGAGACTTAGTGGATGATTAAGAGCATGAGCCAAGAAGTCAGCCCTCTGAAATAGAGGGAAAAGACTGTCATTAGCCCCAGTGTTAAACTACATCCCTTTCCAAAGCTGCTGTTTCTGTAGACTAAAGGTGTGGGAAATGGATGTTCTCCTGACTTCAGCTCAGCCTGGAGATTGGTGGTGAAGTCGAGGAGCCCAGAAACACAGCCTTGAGCTGAGTGGCCCCAGCAGACGCTTAGGAGGAGAGGGCTTGGTGAGGTCTCACTGGGTAGGCCAAGTGTGGCCATGTGGCGCTTAAGACCCAGGACCAGAGGGGCTTATGCAGGGAAGAGGCATGTTCTGAGCTAGAGAGAGAGACTGAAAGCCTTGGAGACACCCCTGAAGATTGGGGGAAGTGCTTGCTGCAGGCCCTGCCCCTCCCCTCTCATCCTGACTCAGCTCCTCTTGCACTGGGCCTGTGCCGCCTCCGCTCTCTGTGGAGCTGATGTGGAGGCCCATGAGTATTTAAAGAAGTTCTCCAGTTACACAGCTTGAGTTCATTCTTTGGAAGTTCATGTGAAACATTTTACAGCTGAATCTTAAAGATTACCACTTCCAGGAAAATAAGACAGTCTTGAAGTTTTTTCCCTACTAACGAGCAGTGCCAGCATTATAGGAATGAACAAAGTTGAGAGTGAGTGGACCTTCACCTTCATCCCTGTACACATTTGCTTGTGTACCCATTTCCCTTAACACTTACTTTGGGCATTGCCATGTCCTTTCTCACCACTTTATCTGATCCCCCCATTGCTACCCAGGTGTTAAGGAACTGTCCACAGTTTGTAGTTCAGCTGCTCTTGGCATCCTTTTTTCAAGGATCTCTGTGGCATAGGCATCCCTGCGGAAAGGGGGCACCCACTCCCCTAGCTATTGCTTGTGTTTTTCCTGTTTACTGTCTGCTATGGAGCCTGCTTTCTGTATCAAGAGTCCACAACAGAGAGGAGACACTGTGTGCTGTCAATATAGGGGCAAAGGAACACCAAATGGCTTTCTCTCTCCCATTGCGTTGGCACCTAGAGGTGCTCAGCTCTCACTCATTAGGGGAAATGAGTCGCTGGTGATGCCAGTGGTTTGCAAGCATCACTGTGCACTGCATTGACTCTGCTCGGTCCCATTGCGTGTTGCCTGACCAGCAGCCTGGGATAGCCCCCACTGGTGTCAAGGAGTGTAGGGCCCAGGTGAGACTCACTGGGCCCAGGTGAGACTCAATTTCCTGCTTGCCGTCCGCTGCCCTCCTGGGTGCCTCCAGGATGCCAAGGGAAGGCCAGGGACACGAGGACAATAAAGGTGCCATAGACCAGACTGAACTGCTACAGAGAAAGGCCTTTCAACTAGAGACCCTTATTTGCTGTAGAATCCAGGGGGCTGCTTTTGTAAGGAGCAGTTGAGGACTTGGCATGATGCTGAAGCCCTCACCCACAGTGGGGCTCAGACCCTCAGGTGGGAGAGGGTAACCCCTTGTACCTCTGTCCTACCTACTCACACTGTTTTTCCTCTTGTTCCTTCCCCTGCCCACATCTCCGTGTCGACAGTATCAAAAAACAATGTTTTTATGCCATCAAGCTTCTGCGAGCCATCTGCAGGCAATTCTGACTCAGAGCCAGGTGAGCCCTCTCATCCCCTTGCCTCTCACAGCCAGTCACGGGGCTTTTCCTGGTGAAAACGGTTGATGTTGTAAAAAATAAAATCTTAACTAGGAATGGGCAATTTGACATAAGGCTTTTCGTTCATTTCCTGAATGCTTTCCCAACTCTTCAGCTAGAAGACTTGAAATCCAGCGTGAGGCAGACTACAGAAGCCTTAGTTCTGTTCTGCAAAAGCAGGATTGGTTTCAGGAGTTTTAAATCCTTTAAAAAAAAAAAAAATACCTCTGGGCCCTCCCTGGTGGCGCAGCGGGTTAAAGCACAGCACTGAGAATCTAAACCCACTTCCACATGAGTTCGATTCCCGCCTGCCCCAGAGGAGCTCCACATGGCGTGGCAGACCTCTCCTGACCCGCC